GCAAGTGCAGCCTGCACACATTGCTCTTTCTGTGAGTCGGTCCACTCTGCAAGGTGCACCGTCCTTCCCGCTGGACAGCTGAGAGAAGGAGACGCCAGTAGCTCACGTTTCCAGTGGTCTGCAGGGCGCTGTCCAGGGCAGCCTGGCTTCAGGGCCAGTGTTCCGAAGGTGCAGTGCTAGATGGTGAGGTTATATCTGCTGAAATGAGGTCTTGTCTCTCAAGGCCTTATACTAGGAGAAGCGTGGGCAATCAAGATAGAAGATAACACTGAAACTGGAGTGTTTGTGTTTATTACCTTGTGACACAGAGACTGCCTGGGCTGTTCACACTGCCCATGGTTAGGAGCTGCTTGGACGCGTTGCTCTCAGCGGGGGGAAGTGGCATGGTGTGCTGAGGGCAGGGAGGCTCTTAGCCGATGATGGAAGGAATGTGAAGACTCGACCCTGCCCCGGCCAGATCTTCCATTCAGTGGTCACTCCACCCCACCGGCTGCTTCCTCCCAGCCTCCCCTACACCCTGCCCCCAAAGTACCAACACAGGCTCAGCAGCGTGCCTTCGGACTGCTTTTTCCCTCCACTGCCTCCCAGCTCAGGCCCCCGTCTCTCCTCATCTGTCATGATCTCAGCCCATGGCAATGTCAGGATCACTTGTATGTGACATTAACATATGTTTTCCCTTCTATAAGACTGTAACCCCTTGGAGGCGGCAGTAAAGGGGAGAATGACTTGACTTGATTTTTTCCCTTGTAGCAAAAGGGCAGAGCAGCCTGCAGGGGATTCTGGTCTGTGTTTGTGGAAATGTAGGTGAATATCCTTTTTAACGGTGGGGTTTTGAATGGCCTCAATAGTTGACAAGTTTTAATCTAACAGGGTCCATAGGTGTAATGAGTCTGGTTACATTCTTTACTTAAAGGAGGGAGAAACAAGAACTCCACCCTCAGAAGTAAGACAAAGGAATAAGGTCAGAGGCCTTATAAAAGCAGGAGGGAATTCTGGGACAGCCAGCAAGACAGAGAAACCTTTGTTTACTTGCCAATAAAAGTTTGTACTTTTTGCAGTTTTTGAGCCTATGCAATGCTCTCGGATTTTTTGTGTCTCCTCTGAGTCTCTGCAGGGGCTAGCCCTGAACATCCCAAGTAAGCAAGTGTCGCTTGGGTAGTTTAGGAGGCTTGTGTGTGTGTGTGTGTGAGAGAGAGAGAGAGAATTTGGAAGACAACTCTACTCTGTCCTGTCTCCAGTTGGGAATTCCAGGAGCATAAAGAAATGAGGGGGTGATACCTGGAAAGGAGACCGTGGTGAGTGCTAAGCACATGCTGGGCACTGGCATTTTGTTTGATAAAGTAGTCTCCTATCCCCAAATAACACACACTTAGCAGTATAGCAAGAAGTCAGTTAAAAGACACCCTGTCTAGTGAGATAAGTTACAAAATAAAGAAACGGACACAGAGCTGAGGGAGACGGAGGGAAGGCAGCTGCCTGTCCCCCCGGGAGGAGGTCTGCGCCTGCTCGCAGGTGGGGGGGCAGCTGGGCTGGGGCGGGCGTGGGCTCGTGGCACCAAGGCCTTGCTTCGCTCCTGCTCTCGATTTGTACTCTAGGAAAAGTTCTTTATGTCGGTTTTAGTTCTATCTCACAAGTTTCGTATCTCTTTTGGTGAGTGTTCAAAGTGAAAAAAAATCTATAAGCTTCTAGTACACAAGATGCCTTCTCATTTGACACTTTTCATTTGGGGTTATGGCAGAGAATAGTTCTGTAACATTTGAAACAGTTTTGAATCTTGATGTGAGAAACCTGGTGTAATGGCTACTTCTCTGCCACACTGTGTCAGCTTGAATAAGTCAACTTCCCAACTTCTGCACTTACCCTGCAACGGAATACTTGTCACGTAATCTTGAAGACTGACTGAGATGGTGCATGAAGCTGCCCAGCTCAATGACTGGTCCATCACAGATGCTCAGAAAAGACCCCTGTGCAGTAAGGACAGTGCCGAGAGAGACATGACGGAAATGTCAGGAAGCTTTGTGGTCTGTAAGGTCATTTAAATGTTGCATGATAATTACTTTTGCACACTGATATTAGACAGTGACTGTGTTTGCCTTTTGATCTTGTTTCAGAGGGCATGAATTGTTTCAAATTGGACAGAAAAAGATGATAGTTTTGTGGGTTTTATGGTAGAAACCTGGTACTGGGTAACTAGCGGTATATTCACTGGCATAAAAACATATTGAAAATATATTTAAAATAATTATGAACATAGAGTATAAATTATATACGCAGTCTTATTCAAACTGAAATTCTTTGTAGCTGCATTTCTACTTAATCAGAGACCTTTTCTGTAGGAAGAGACTTTTTCTTATTTATTAATCACTTAACCTAGTTTTGAATTTAAAATTTCACTTTATTGGACACGAATAACCATAGCAGTTTGTACTGTCTTGGCTGGCTCTGATGTTCCAGACATCAGCTTGTCTCATGGTATTACCACAGCCCTCGGAGGAGGGTACGATTAGCACAGTCTTTTAACAGGTGAGGAAGCGAGTGTGGCGAGGTTAGTCCTTCTTCTCAAGTTCACATGGTAAGGTGATGGGCTAGGTTTCAAGTTCAGGCTGTTGGCAGAGAAGGCTCCAGCCCCATCCAGTCAGCTAGACACCGTGGAAACTAGACTGTGTGACAGTCTCTCTTTATTGCCGTCCGCTGAAATTACAGAGTGTCCTTCCCGAAAATGTAACGTCCGAGTCTTATAGAGGGACAAAATCAGAATAGTCTCTTGCCTGTGAGATGCTTGTCATCCTTGCTCTGCATTTTGAGTTGTGCCATAGTTTTGAATAAGGAGTTTGTGTTGAATAAAATTTGTGGTCTCACTGTATCCCAGACACAACAGACCCCCCACCTTGGCAGAAGCCCCTCTCCATGACTTGAGTGTGGGCAGGGCCTGCCCAGGGCTCCCCCGTGTGCCAACAGGTGGGCTGACCTGCAGGCATCTGCAGGTCAGGATGCTCAGAGTGGGCTCTTCTCCCCATGTCCCCTGCCAGCCACGGTCCTGGCTGACAGACACCCAGATGGCCACCCCAGAGACCCTGGTCTCAGGTTTGCTGCTTCCTCCTCACTTGGCCCCGTCCTCACCTATGCAAGTGCCTGCTGAAAAGAAATTCAAGTGGAGTGTTTTAGGGCCTGTGCCCAGTGACTGTGGATCACAGTGTAGAGGAGGGAGCACTCCCCTACCCTGGGGTTTGGTGTCGGGCCTGTGCTCAGTGGCTGTAGGTTACAGTGTAGAGGAGGGAGCACTCCCCTACCCTGGGGTTTGGTGTCGGGCTGTGCTCAGGGACTGTAGGTTACAGTGTAGAGGAGGGAGCACTCCCCTACCCTGGGGTTTGGTGTCGGGCTGTGCTCAGGGCTGTAGGTTACAGTGTAGAGGAGGGAGCACTCCCCTACCCTGGGGTTTGGTGTCGGTCTGTGCTCAGGGACTGTAGGTTACAGTGTAGAGGAGGGAGCACTCCCCTACCCTGGGGTTTGGTGTCGGGCTGTGCTCAGAGACTAGGTTACAGTGTAGAGGAGGGAGCACTCCCCTACCCTGGGGTTTGGTGTCGGGCTGTGCTCAGGGACTGTAGGTTACAGTGTAGAGGAGGGAGCACTCCCCTACCCTGGGGTTTGGTGTCGGTCTGTGCTCAGGGACTGTAGGTTACAGTGTAGAGGAGGGAGCACTCCCCTACCCTGGGGTTTGGTGTCGGGCTGTGCTCAGGGACTGTCGGTTACAGTGTAGAGGAGGGAGCACTCCCCTACCCTGGGGTTTGGTGTCGGGCCTGTGCTCAGTGGCTGTAGGTTACAGTGTAGAGGAGGGAGCACTCCCCTACCCTGGGGTTTGGTGTCGGGCTGTGCTCAGGGACTGTAGGTTACAGTGTAGAGGAGGGAGCACTCCCCTACCCTGGGGTTTGGTGTCGGTCTGTGCTCAGGGACTGTAGGTTACAGTGTAGAGGAGGGAGCACTCCCCTACCCTGGGGTTTGGTGTCGGTCTGTGCTCAGGGACTGTAGGTTACAGTGTAGAGGAGGGAGCACTCCCCTACCCTGGGGTTTGGTGTCGGTCTGTGCTCAGGGACTGTAGGTTACAGTGTAGAGGAGGGAGCACTCCCCTACCCTGGGGTTTGGTGTCGGGCTGTGCTCAGGGACTGTCGGTTACAGTGTAGAGGAGGGAGCACTCCCCTACCCTGGGGTTTGGTGTCAGGCTGTGCTCAGGGACTGTAGGTTACAGTGTAGAGGAGGGAGCACTCCCCTACCCTGGGGTTTGGTGTCGGGCTGTGCTCAGGGACTGTCGGTTACAGTGTAGAGGAGGGAGCACTCCCCTACCCTGGGGTTTGGTGTCGGGCCTGCACATTAACCGGGCAAAAGCCGGATCACCAGGAGAGAAGTCGTACAGATGTTACTGCTGGTAAGGTTTTTACGTGCACTGGGACCCTCACAGAAAAGAGGGGAAACCTGAAGGTTTGATGCTCCCAGTGTCCAGGCCGGGGACCCCACTGCTTCCATTGCTGTTCCTCTGTGCACGGACATCCCTCCTCCACCCATGTTGAAATCACAGGAGCACAGCTCCTGTCCTGCAGGGTATAGTTCTTTAAAATAGAGTGTGCTCCATTTCCATAGCATTGGCTTGGGGCCTCGGCACACTCCCTGGGGGCGCACCTGCCTCTTCCCTGCCCTGCGGCTCTCGGCTCTCGAAGGAAGGTGCCGCTCACATTAGGTCACCGCAGTCAGTAAATGCTTGTATTTATCGCAGGAGAAAGTCATTGTGTTTTGCTTTATGACCGTTGACCTGACCTACACTAGCTACTTTGTAAACACATGCCATTGGGCACCTTTGAGACTAAGCGGAAGCTAATTTTTGTTAATCGTGTTGGAAATAATCATGACATCGTGTGTTTGTCAGTTTTTGACATTGTCCTATTTTGTATTTTATAGCAGCGCATGCTTTAAAATATTAAAGTGTTGTTTATTTTTGTTTTATCTTTTAGATATTGCTATATGGAGATTTGCCAAAAAATAAAGAAAATGTAATATATTTAGCAAATCATCAAAGCACAGGTTTGTATCTCATTTGCATGAATCTTGGGCTTTTCTACAGAAAATAGATGGGCATTCAAAGTTATGTTCTTACATATTTAAATGAAGATTTTTTTTGTTGTTGTTATTGTTGAAACATGAATTTTTAATGCAGATACTGTTCGTGACCTTGTATTTTTGTAATTTTACTATGAATTTTCCTGTTCTTATCTTTTCCCTTGGATGGGTATAAATAAGCTATTTTCTTTCTTTTTTCCCCTATTTCTTTGACCAGTTCTTTAAATGGTCTGTGCATTCTTCCTTTGGTAAGATACGTTTCTGGAAGTGGGATAGGCGAGCCACAGTGTGTAGACATTTTAAACTGCAGAAATGTGTGAGCCTTCCCCCTCAAGACGCAGCACTAGTTTCTGGCATCTGCAGTTCCTTTTGCCTCTTCGAATGTTTTGGTTTAATTACAGCGTGTTTTTCTGTCAGAGGAGTCAGAAGCCTGGTCTCTAAGAAAGTGCAGTGTGTACTTTAAATTAGGTCAAGGTACTTTTAAACTTACTTTGTAATAATTACAGATTTACAAGAATTTGCAAAAGTAGTACATCGAGTTCCATGATTCCTTCACCAAGTGTCCCCCACTGTTGGCATCTTCTAGAACTATGTACAGTATCAAAACCAGACATTCACGTGGGTTAAAGTACTTTTTAGTTCTCCAAATAGTTCAGTTAAAAAAAAAATCCCATTTCACATTATTTTCAAACCTGTGATTGCTTTTGATGTACAATTCCTAAATTTCATTTTTACTCTAAAAAATATAGTGCCCAGAAGCTGAAAGCTAAAAACAACCTGACCAGTGATAACACCTGAGTAGAAAGTCCCTTCATCTTTCTCCTGTCAACTGCGTCTCTTCTCTTCGTGACTTAGGTGCTTTTGTTTCCACCTCTGCTCTAGATAAGGTAAAGAAAGTGAGAGAAGGTCACATGCATCTTTCTCACTGTGGCTTATCAACGATCTCATTCAGTTTTATAGGACAGAAGTTGAGCCTACCAAGGGTGCTAGGAATCTCAATGTGTCTGCGTACTGCGTGGACTGGCCATCCTGGCTGGCCCAGAGGACTTGACTTCACTACATCTGACTTGAGCAAAGCCGCCAGCCCTGTGGGTCGGTCTGCTTCCAGCTCTGGCCTCTGACGGAGCCTCATTTCAGCCTATATTTGGCCTGTTTCTCCTGGCGAGTCGGGATTTTTACTGCTAACATGGTCTTGCTCTTCCTGTGCTGCTGCCGGTGGCATGTTTCTGCCGCGGTTCCATCGTCTAAGTGGAGAGGATTTGGGGGTCCAGGGTGGACATGGCTCATTTAACTGATAGAGTTCTCTTTCTGTTTAGCAGGATTCTCTCTTAAAATTCCTCGTCTGAGCTCCCTGCCAACTTGCCTGGTTCCAGGTTTGGTGGGGCCGTGCTCTGTCCAGAGGCGCTGGCAGCAGTGCAGTGGGCAATGACGGTGCCGCCGTAGCAGCCACCACTGCCTTCGTGTGCTCACTGCGCTGGCCTTGGTGTGCACCCTCCAGACTGAGGGCTTCTGGGGGAGCATCGGGAAGAAACTGATTTGTTTTTTCTTGGTTAATCCTCACGCATTGATTTTTAGAAGGAGTGGAAGAGGGCAGGGAGGGAGAGAGAGAGAGAGAGAAACATTGGTGTGAGAGAGACATGTCAATTGACTGCCTCCTACATGGGCCCTGACTGGGGCCAGGGGTTGAACCTGTAACCCAGTTACCTGCCCTTGATGGGGAATTGAACCCAAGACCCTTCAGTGCACAGGCCAACTCTCTAACCACCTGCCAGGGCAGAAACCAGATTTTTAAAATTCTTCTTGTGTTTGGAACTGGAAGGCGTCATGGGATATACGAGCTGCCCAGTCAGCCGCCCTGGGGAGGTCGCATTTCTCAGCACCCAGCGGCCGGGCCCCACCCCACCCTCCCCTCCTGCTGAGGCCCTGCCTTTCTAGGACCAGGGCCACGCACTCGGCCACTGGCATTGGGAGGGATACTTTTTAGATGCCTTTTTGCAAACCATAACTTAGGAGCACAAGTAGGTAGTGAGTTTGGATTACTTCAGGGGTACAGGCGCCAGCCAGATACAGGGTTTGGCAGAAGTAGGTTTACAGGTGTGAGTATACAGAACACAGTTTGTTCCTCTATTTATTATTTGCCATATGAACAACTGTCAACTTACTTTTGCCTTACCCTGTATGATAGAAGATTTGGAGCCTTTTCCCAGGGGAAAAAATGGGCGCATAAAAATTTGCATATAGTTTTAGTTTCCAGAGGCCCCTCCAGCTTACCCCTGGTCTTGGGTCATTGGCCTGTGTGTCTAGGTACCTTTATTAAACCCGGCTGAGATATTAGGAGTTAAAACTGAGCATCTAAAAATGTAAGTAGCAGAAAGATCATTTCAAGGACTGCTGTTCAGCTCAGACTTTCTAGTTCATCTTCTACTGGGCCAGCCAGAATGCACAAGTCTCTTCTTTGCCTGACCTTTAAAGAATTGAAAGTTTCATGCATCTCTCTCCTCCCTCATTTTCACTTGATATATCGTTTCTATCTCTGATTCTAGTCTCTGTTACCTTATTTCTGTCCAGAGTCAGTGAGGATATAGTAGCTGTTCCTTCCTCCCAGCCTTCTTTAACTATCTGCTTTGGACTCTACTTACCTTGCTAACCTTATGAAATGCTCCCTTTTCTTGGTTTAGGTGACATTTTTCTTGACTAAGAACATGTATGGTGAGTAGATCGTCATAAAAAGGTGTGGGCTTTGGGGTCAGAGGGGCCCTGGCTCATACACTGTTCTACAGCAGGCTGTGTGATAGTGGGCAAATTACTTAACTTCTCTGAGCCTCAGTGGTAAGGCATGAGGAAGAGCTTCTGATCGGGACTTTTAGGCAGTGCACACAGCTGGCTCATAGCTGCACAGAGTCCTGGCTCATGGGGCACTTTGCAATAGGAGTGACGGTGATGGGGTGTGACCCACGAGCATGGTGCTGGCTCCGCGCCAGCCCAGCGTGGCCACCCCTCCTGAGATGGGGAAGGAGAGAGAAACATTGATGTGAGAGTAAAACATCGGTCGGCTGCCCCTGCACACCCCAGACCGAGGATCAAGCCCACGTGTGCCCTGATGGGGATCGCACTGGCCACCTTGATGAAATGATGCTAGAGTAGTGGTCACTGTTACTGTAAGGGTGATGTAGTACCTCGCATTGTCATTGCCTCGGCCATGTCTAGTATCTCCTATCTGAAACCTCGCTGGAGGGAAACAGAAAAAGTGAAAAATGTTTGAGGAGTAAAAATTGATGGCACAGCCCTGGCCAGTGTGGCTCAGTTGGTTGGAGCATTGTCCCGTGCTCCAAAGGGTCGTGGGTTCAATTCCTAGTCAGGGTACACACCCAGGTTGCAGGTTTGATCCTGGTTGGGGTGCATACCGGTGGCAACCAATCGATGTTTCTCTCTCACATCAATGTTTCTCTTTCCCCACTCCCTTCCCTTCTCTCTAAAGAAATTAATAAAAACATATCCTGGGGTGAGGATTAAAAAAAAAAATGATAGCACAAAGCATGTGTCTTATGACTACTTAAGTTAATTCTTAAAAATTTTTTTACTAAAATTTTCAAAACATTAAGGGCATAGCCCAGGACAGTCCATGTTTAAAAATTTGCACTTTCTCTTTAAAGTGTTTGGATTGTGCACCCCGGACCATAATAAAACCATGCAGGTTTCAGTATAAAAATGCATTGTAAAAATATCTCCAGACTTTCACAATAATTGTTGCAGAAAAAGATGCCAAATTGTGTTTCCAGCCTTGTGCCCTCAGATGTGTTCTGGGGACACCTGAGCCTGGAAACCACATGCGGTTCTCCTAGCTCATTCACTTGTTTCACGTCAGGTGCAGTTTCCAAGACGTGATTAGAAAGAATCATCAGTGGCTGTTTAGTTGGTGTAAAGTAGAGGGAAGGGGACAGGAAGGCACACACTTTAGAGAAGTGACAGTTGTTGAGTTCCCAAGGACACAGTGTGGTATTGATCATTGGCTACACGGGAAGTCTTCCCTATTTAAACGGAACCATCATCACTTTTGTATATGTGATCATTGTGATTCTTAAGTCATCATGGAAGAGTTAACTTGCAAATGATAAAAAAGATTGAAAAGAGATATTTACAATAATCGATATAGTACTTTCCCCAGAGGGGCGACTCTTAGTGTTTGGATTGGCTGAGTCCTCCTCAACGGTTGAGAGTTCATCATCCTGTGAGTGTGGCAACCACCTCCTTTGGTGAAACTTTCTCGACACTCCTTTAACTTCTCAGCTTTTATTTCCTACAGGTTTTTGTTTTGTATTTTTTAAAACACTTCCCTTCTAATTCACTTCTTTGTACACGTGTACCCCTAGGACTCGGTCCCTTTCATATATCCCGTCCTTCAGTTCATTTGTAGACACTAGAAAAGTCTCCCTCGCAATTAGTTTTTATCCTTTTCATTCTTCTCTGGAGATAGGGTAGTTCACAGCCTCTTACTTTCAAGTCCAGGTCTCTTGGGGTCTTTGAGACCTTTACCACCTGCCTTCTTTATGTCATTTCGTTTCCTCTTAGTCCCTTACCGCGCCTCCCCTGTTCGCCGCCTGCAGCCCTGCTGGATCCAGGTTTCTCGCCAGGCGGGTCCCTGCTCAGAACGTCTCTGCAAGATCAGTCAGCAATTTCTTTCTTTCGACAAGCTTTTGTCGGTATGAACTCACGCAGCCCTTTAGTAGCACCGTGTCTATCAGTGAGGGTTGTTAGCAGCCCGGTACACGTCCTTGGGTTGTGCGCATCTGCCTGGCACAGTTGTAGCTGCGTGAGATCCTTGGTTCGAATGCTCCTGTCACCTCCGGTTGTGTCTGGAACCTCACTGTCGAGTGTCCCTGTCTTCTGTCGAACACATCAGCATGTACAGAATATTGGTTGTCCTTCAGTTTCATCGAACCATTGTTTTGCTTATCATTTTGTCATGTTTTCTAGGCTCAGAATCAGAGAAGCTTACTTCACCCCGTTCACCCTGCTTGGGGATTGCTTTGTAGCCTTTGCATTTCGCTCATGAAATAAAAGCCTTTCAAGAAATGTAAAAACAACAACAACCCTAAATAACAACAAAAACAAACTTAAAAGCTCAGAATTTATATTTTTTAAATGTCTCACTTTGATTTAAAATAATTTTAAAATTCTCATCATATTTTCCAAGCGTGTTCCTTACAGAATGTGCTGAGAGCCGTTTGTTTCTGAGGGGCTCTGCGGTCACCTGTGGGTGGTCCACGCACTGACAGCTCTGTCTCCGCAGTGGACTGGATCGTGGCCGACATCCTGGCCGTCCGGCAGGGCGCCCTGGGGCACGTGCGCTACGTGCTGAAGGACGGGCTCAAGTGGCTGCCCCTGTACGGCTGCTACTTTTCCCAGGTAACTCCCCAGCTTCTCAAACTGGCGTGCGCGATATGAACATACAGGTCGGGGTGGTTTCTGTGAGTTTAGTAGTTTTTCCTAAATTGAAGTAATTTCATTTTAGATCTTCAGTGGTGTATATTTATATACATGTCTGATTATCCAAAGAGTTAAATAGCAAAAATGCAAATGAACAAAAATCAAACAAATAGGAAAAATTAACAGCATAGAATTTGATAGACAATTCCCTTAAGAAGCTAATAATAAAAGTAATTATGGACTGTAGGATATAAAAAAAGTTTTATATGTAAAGTACTTAGCATGAGTGCCAAGTACATGATAAATGTTCAACATATATTATTTTCCAAAATGCTGTTTAGAACTACATAGGAGCCTTCAGGTCATGAAACACTGTATAACAGGCTCTGTCATACTCAGAAGGGCTTGGGGGCCGGGGTATGTGGGAAATAGCTGTACCTTCCACTCAGTTTTACAGTTAAGTTGTTCTGTTTGTTTGAATGTTTTTATTTATTGATTTGAGAAAGAGAGAGAAACAGCGACTTGCTGTTCCCCTTATTGATGCATCATTGGTTGAGTCTTGTATGTGCCCTGACCAGGGATCGAACCCATAACCTTAACATATTAGGTCGATGCTCTAACCCACTGAGCTGCCCAGCCGGGACTGCAGTTAACTCCAAACTGTAAAAAGTAGCCTGTATCCATAAAAGGATTACTAGCACGTTTCTATGTTTTTTCTGAATAAATGATCTAATAATATTTTAAGACTGAAGTATAAAGTTTGTCTGGAAGACATGCTTGTTAATACGACCTTAATAGTAGATTAAAGAAGAAAAGCTGAAGTTACAGTTTGAGCTTTAGAATATGTAAACCTGGAAGTCGGCTCAGGCATGGAAGGACGCTGGCCCCCCCAGGCTGTGCACCGCCCTGGTCGGGGTGTGTGGAGCGGCGGGCTTGGACACTCGCTTCCTCCTCCCTCCCTTCCGGAGGCTTTGAACGAGTCAAATTCATACACATTGTGATGAAAAGTATCCGAAAGTACTGGGTTCATATAAAAGAGGAAATAGATTACTAAGAGGTAGACTTGTTGTTGTTGTTATTAATCCTCACCCAAGGATATTTTCCATTGATTTTTAGAGAGAGTGGAAGGGAGGGAGAGAGAGAAACATCAGTGTGAGAGACACATTGATTGTTGCCTCCTGCAGGACCCTGACCAGGAAAAATATGAATAGATTCTATAATATTTTAGAAATCTAAAGGAATACGAAGTCATGGCACCTTTTAAAATAAAAACAGTTGCCCAGCCGGTGTGGCTCAGCGGTTGAGCGTCGACCCTGCACCAAGAGGTCGCCGGTTCAATTCCCAGTCAGGGCACATGCCCAGGTTGGGGGCCTGATCCCCAGTGGAGGCGGGGCACGCAGGAGGCGGCCAGTCGATGTTCTCTCTCATCGATGTTTCTATCTCTCCCTCTCCTCCTCTCTCTAAAAATCAATAAAAAAAGAAAAATAAAATAAAACAAAAAGACAGTTTATACCCGAAGTTCCCAGTCTCAATTTCCCTTCTTCCTTCATTTTCATTTTATCAGGAGCCTTTCTTTCTCGGGATCTTTTGACCTTCTCAACCCTAAGAAAGGCTGGGTTCTCAAAAAAAAAAAAAAAAAAAAAAAAGTCAGTTTTATGAAGTAGTTGAAACCAGCCCTAAACATTCCGAGCCCCTGGAAAGATTCTTGATTTGGAGGGTGGGTAGGATTCTAACCTTTGAAGCAGTGGTCTGGGGAGTGTCTGCAAAGAGTAGCCTGGGGGTTGTGGGTCTTCCCTTGAGAACACTGAAGTCTCACGGTTAACCTCAGAGGTGTTTTAGCTGATCCACTTTACTGAACCTCAGGTCAAACTTCAGGTTCATTCTGGAGGTTCCTAAAGCTCACTGGGGCTTCAGCCAGGGTTACTTTGTATCCTGACTTATACTTGACTGACTGCAAAGTGCAACATCATGCCCCAGAACTGTCCTTGAGTGTTTGCCTGGACAGACACACCTGTCCTTTGTTTCCCTGGAGAGGGCGGGACCCAGTGTGGATGTGCGCTCCATCCCCCAGACTCCTGGCCCTGCGCTGGGCTGGGCTGGGCTGGCGTTCTGTGAACTACACTCACACACGCTCAATTTGCTTCTCCAGTCATAAGGGTGCTCTGGCCACTTACCTGCTCAAAACTGTGTTTTCCAACGGCACCAAGTCCCAATTCCCTTGCCTGTCATGGTTCACCATGACCTCTCTCCCGCTAGCCTGCTTTTCTCGCCTGCATCTGTTGCGCACCTCTGCCTCCTCCACGCTGCTCCGCCTCCCATCGGTGCCCTTGGAGGCCCAGGGTGGACCATCACGAACCCTTCCCGAGCCTGCTGGCCCTGCCCTGTCTTCCGTCCTGCTTTTCCTCGGGGCTGTCTTTATTAAACAAAACGCTCCTCACATCCTCTTTGTGTCGCACGGTGTCACGTGCCACCCCCTACTCAGGACGTTTCTCAGAGGATGATTCCTGGTCCTCACTTCGGCATCTTGCAGATATCTTTGCATTAGGATAGGCTTTAATAAGCAAGTCAGATGCAGGGAAGAAGTGCTGTGAAATGACAGACCTAATGGCCTGAGAGCTTGGGGATGGTTTACACGGAGGTATGTGCGTTCTGTGGCTTTGAGTTCTAACCTGAGTGAGCTCCCATCAGCCTCTCTGTTGGGTCAGCAGTGGCAGAACGTTTGCAGGGCACTGGAGTTTCTCCTCTGTGCTGAGGCGGGCCGTTCATGTGGCAGGGGCCCCGCCAGAATCGAAGGCCGCCCCGCTTCCTCCCCTCCGTCCACTGTCCCCTGCTTCTGTCCTTCCCTTCCACTCCTGTTCTTCGTCGAGACGAAATCAGATTCAGCCGGTCCATTTATTTTACAGATGAGTTCGACTTAGCACAGAGGAAAGCAAAAAATAAAAATGCTGACCTGATGCAGTTTCAGTAAAGTGCCGTAATGAAGTGTAATTAGGTTATTACCTGAATTTTTATGCAGTAGCCTGCAAGACTGCCATGCCGGATACACAGCCTGGGGTGCTGCCCAGCAGAATCATATTTCCCGCCGGGCTGGAGGCTGGAAGCCCCATCGGGGTGTGGGCAGGGCTGGTTCCTCCTGAGGCCTCTCCTCTCCTTGCTGTTGGCCACCACCTCCCTGTGTCTCCACTCTGCGACTCGTGTCTGTGTCCTCGTCACCTCTCTTAGCAGGCACTGGTCCTGCTGGGGTGGGCCCATCTTCAGGACCTCATTTAACCTGACTGTCTTCCCCGGGGAGCCCATGTCCACATACTGCCACACTGCAGGGGGGACTTAAACATAAGAGTTTGGGGGAGCACAGTTCAGTCCACAGCAGTGCTATATAACATCTATAGTTGGGCTAGTTTGTAACATCCCTAGAGATCATAAGTGTTGACATTGTTATGACACTTTGTAGTGATTCTATAATTAGCAGAAAAATTGAGAACTAAGCTATGTCTGTGATGAGGTGTTGATTTTAAAATGTATTTCTAAGAAAGAAAGCATTTTTATTTTAACTGCCAACAAAAGTAAATGTGTACTTTCCAATACAACATGCAGTTTTATTTGAATTCTGTTGTAACTTAGGAGAATTTTCAGCTAATGTTCTGTAGATGGTACTATCTGAATGTGTTAAACACAGTTCATTTCCTAAAACGTCCACCTGTTCTGCACCCTGGGGGGTGAAGTGACCGTGCGGGCGGGCGGGGTGGAGCAGTAACCTCTCCGCTGTTTGTCCGGCAGCACGGAGGCATCTACGTCAAGAGGAGCGCCCGCTTCGACCAGGAGGCCATGCGGAGGAAGCTGCAGAGCTACGTGAGCGCGGGAACCCCAGTAAGACGCGCTCGAGTGCCCTCTGCCCGGCAGCCCTTGTTCAGTTCAGAGCTTAATTCGAAGTTAGGAGTTGTTTAGAAAGTGTCCTATCCCGTGTGCAATGAATAATTCAGAGTTGGCTGCGGCAACACAAACCCTCCAGTGTAGGTGAGCGCTTCTTCCGGGCGTCCGAAGGCCGCTGCGGCCGGGTCTGGGCAGCCTCAGCAGGGACCTTGCGCGGAGGGGCTGCAGGCCCCAGGCTGTAACCTTAGCCTCCGCCACCTCAGCGCTGCTCCCCGTCTTCAGTGCCAGGGGCATTCTAGAAGAGACAGCTGTTTTCTGTCTGTGAGTATGCGCTTAGACTTCTTGTTTCTAGTCAGTTATTTGAAAAGTCAAAAATAGTATCAGTACCTACAAACAAAGAATCATTCCTCATAAATATTACTTTATAAAACTTTGCTCCTCCCAAAGAATCTCAGTGTTCTCCGAGAAGGACACTGATAGCCCCAGGGCCGTCGCCCCTGCTCCCCTGCAGAACAGGACCTGGTGACCCTCCGCCTCCGCCACCAGCACCTGCGTGGTGAGGGCTCTTGTAGCTTAGCACCCCCGCCCCCAGCCCAGGACTTCCCTGTCTTCCCCTCTCCTCCCTCTTCACCTTCCTCTCTCCTGTCCCTGTCCCCTCTTCCTCTCTCTAGGGCTCCGGGTGGCAGCCAGAGCACATGTTTGAGGGAAGCTGCCCCACAGTCAGCTGGCCAAGCGCCCTGACGGTCAGCTCTTATTTACAACCTTCTCTAGTTGTCACTGTGGCTGCCCGTAGCCTCGGCTCTGAGCGGCAGCTGCAGGCACGAGTGTTCTGCTGCTGTGGGGCGGGAACAGTGGCCCTTACCGTTCTGTATCCTAAGTGAAAGCGTCTCCTGTTTTTTGTTTAAAAATTCAAATGCTTGGAATAATTTTGTATTTACAAAATCCAAACGGAAAAGCCGCCTATGGAAAAGGAGAAAATATTTGTAAACCACACATCCTGTAGGGTGTTAAATTCCAAAATATATGGGAAGCCACGCAGTTCATTAGCAAGAAAACAAATCACCCAGCAATGGGCGCGGCTTGAAGAGCTGTTCTCCAGGGAGCTGCAGGAAGGCCCCAGGCACATGGAAGGCCCTCCTTGTCATTGCAACCACTCTGGGGTGCACCTCATACTGTTGGAAGGGCTGTCCTCACAGGCAGAGCACGGCAGGTGCTGCTGAGGCTGAGAAAGGGGCCCTTAGATCAACTGTCAGTGGGGGTAGAAATGGGTGAGGTCATTATGGAGAACAATGGAGGGGCAGCAAAAGATGAAACTAGAACTACCATGTGATCCAGGAATACACTTCTGGGTGTATATCCCGACATACACGTATCCCCAAAGGAGCTGTGTGAAGGCCAACAGGTACATAGTCATAAATATATATATATATGAATCAGACTACTATCCTGAAGGGCTGTCTGCATGCTCGTGTTCATTGCAGCAATATCCACAGCTACCAAGACATGGAGACCTGTGTCCACCAGTAGATGAGTGGATACAGGAAGTATATGTGTCCACATATATGTGCATACAGAAAGTATGGTATATGTCCATGTACAGGGGAATATTTTTCAACCTCAAAAGAGGGGGATATCCTGGCATGTGTGATGACGGACAGGAAACATTTTTACTTGTGGAGGTGTTACTGGTGGGGGTGCCTGGTGTGCAGCCCGCTGCAGGTACCGAAGTGCAGAGGTGGACGCTTCCGCTGTGGCACACACCCGGCAGACCACCAGCGCAGTCCAGGTGATGAACACGTGTCGCCCACCTCCAAAGTCTGCATCTCTGTGTCTGTCCTGTCCCAAGGCAACCAGGGATCTGCTTCTGTCACTATAGACTAGTTTGTATTTCCTAGAACTTTATATGAATGGAACCATGCAGCTCGCACTCCTTCTTGGGGAGTGGGTCTGGCTTCTTGCACTTAGATAATGATTTTGAGGTTCGTCCATGTGATCGTGTGGACCAGTAGTTTGTTTCTTTCCACAGTCGAGCACCGTGTTGCGAGTGGATGCACCACAGCTGGTCCCAGAGTGGGTAGTTGGATGTTGACTTGCCTTCCCATACTCATGACAGTGTCTTGAAGAACAACAGTTTATAGTTTTCCTCCAGTGTATTGATTTTTCTCACGTGATTTCTGCTTTGTGTGTCCTAATTTAGAAGTCTTTGCTAAACTCATGGTTATGGGACTTTCTCCTGTTCGCTTCTGGAAGGTTTATAGGTTTAGCTTTACATTGAGGCCTGTCCTCTGTTTTGAGTTAATTTTCATGATACGTGGTATGTTTAAAAAGGTTGATGGAAGTCTTATTTCTTATTTTCTCTTGACTGCCAAACATGTTGGTGTAGTTTTTGTAACTCAGTTCTAGAATTAGGAGGCTTTCACCGTGCAGTTTTACTGTTTCTGTTTCCACTTTCCCAAGCAGGTAAATGTAAAAGCAGCTCGATACTCTGCTTTATTTACAAGGACATGATTTTCGTTTTGAAGTGGCTTCTAAGTCAAATCATTTACTGTATTTTAAGGAAGCTCTGTAAAATAATAGTGTGAGTTTTGAAATGTAAACACTGCCTTTTATATTGTGTAAATTTACATATTTATATATGAATTTTCACAAATAAGATGTAATGGAGACATAGATGTCTAAAATTTGCATATCTTTTAAAGTCATTTTGCAGAACTTGGGGTGGGAAACTCTTATGAGCTAATGGAGGCACCTATGAGTCAGCATTTCATGGCTAGATTTTCATTTAATAAATATTAATAGGTAATTAGAAACATTAGATTCTTGATGACTGAGCTACCAGTGACTGTAGGACTGCATTTTAAATATAGTCTGTGTTATATTAAGACTTACATACATTTTTGCATTTGGTGGTTCTGCTTGAAATGAAGGTCATACGTAACTGTATTTACATTTTCCCCACCATAGGAAATAGTTTCTTAGCATTAGTAGGGGTAATGTCGGTAAGTTAGCAACAGAGTTCACACCAAACAAACCAGACTTTTTTTATGCTTCACAGATGTATCTTGTGATTTTCCCAGAGGGAACCAGGTATAACCCAGAACTAACAAAGGTCATTTCAGCTAGTCAGACATTTGCTGCTAAAGAAGGTGAGTAAAAGTTTGGCTTTTTGATAAAATCATCTTTAAAGATAATCGCCTTTTAAATTTCTGCTTTACAACAATTGACACGAGTGAACATACTTTTCCTTGAATGAACGTATGTGTTACCTCTGAGGAAATGAAGTTTCTTCTCATTAGTGCATGCACGTGTCATCACATCCCTGGGAGAGAAAAGTCAGAGGCTACAGCACCTGGTTTGGTGCCCCGGGCTCTGGTGAAGGCTGTGTTGGCGCATGGCTGTGTGATGGACCAGTCTGTGCAGTGCGGCTGCGTGTGGTGGAGACGGCTTATCATCTGCCGGTTGACAGGCCTGGATGGGGATCCACATTGTGACCCTGCGTAGCTCTCTGGGCTGCAGGCTCATGTTACTGAGCTCAGTTTCCTTATCTCTTAAAAATACGTACTTCGTGGGTGTGTGTCAATCTCTTTAAGAATGAAGGAGAGCCCTGGCTGGTTTGGCTTAGCAGTTAGAGCATCGGCCCACGGACCGGAGAGTCCCGGGTTCGGTTCCCACTAAGGGCACGTACCTCGGTTGCAGTTTGTCCCCAGTCCTGGTTGGGGTCAGTGGGTGGCAACCAGTCGATGTGTCCCTCTCACATCGATGTTTCTCTTTGTCTTTCCCTCTCGCTCTGTCTGAAGATGAATGCAAAAATGTCCTCAGGTGAGGATAAAAAAAAAGAAAGAAAAAGAATGAAGGAGTTACACAACATGCAAAGTGTCTATTGGAGAATATTACACAAAATTGGTTCACAGTACTTGGGAGCTATTTTATGTCCCTGGTAATGAGAATGTTCTTAACATCCACGTTTTAGAAAGTTGGATGACTAACATGCTAGTGAGCTGCTCAGTCTGCCTGCACTGGGAGGCCGACACAGCAGTGGCTCTGCGTGTTCTCGGGTGAGTCAGCGTGACATCCACAGCGGTCAGTGGGACTGCTGAGCCGGCGCCCCGCCGACCACACGTGCAGTCTGTGCCGCCCAGGAGAGCTCGCTGCGGTGACGATAGTTCTCTCTCTCTGCTCCGGCCAGCGTGGGCACCCCTGCCCAAGGGGCCAGTGAGCATCAAAATGTGGCTAGTGTGTCGGAGATCTGTTTTTAATTTTATTTATTTTTAGTTAATTGATTGTGATCTGATGTGACTCCACCTAAGAATTTAGTGACTGCAAACAGTAACAGCCATGAACTTGTTTCCAGTTCTGCACCTTGGGCAGAGCTGAGCAGAGACCAGGGCTTACTTAGCTCAGGTCTGTTCCCCGGGGTTAGCTGTAAGCCCTCATTTCACTGCATTTAGGTGGGACCTTGCTTGGGGCTAGAAAGTCCTAGGTGACTGTACTCAGATGTCAGACAGTACTTAGATTGAGAACTAAGTCACTCAATCTGTGACTTTACCACTGTACTCGGGTTGGCTGTATCGGCTGGGAGCACGAGGCCTCTCTCTTCCTCTTTGGTGTATACTTACGGTGTTTATCAAGCGTGACTCTTGTGCCAGGGTGGTCCTAGATGGACATTGCCACTAGCTTTGGGCTGCGTCCCTCACACGTGCTTTTATGTAACCTTAGACAGTTACTTTATTTCTTTTGCTCCTTTTCCTTGTTTGTAAACCAGGGCATATATGTCTTCCATAGGGGTTTTGGGAGGGTCATGACAATGTCTGTAAGAAGCAGAGGTGGAGGCCGACTGAATGCATGTTCTGCGCCCTTTATAGGGGGCTTGAGCATCCTCGGGCTTGGGTACCTTCAGGTGTCCTGGAGCCCACTCCTTGCAATACAGAGGGATGACTGGGGTTTTCAAGGAGTCAAAAGTTACATGGAGATTTCGACTGTGGGGGCCGGGAGGGGGGGGTGGTTGGCACCTCTAATCTGTGTTATTCAAGGGTTAACCGTATGTACTATGTGTGTGATGTTTGTGTGTTCCTATATAAATATTGGCATACTTTTTTCAGTTGAGTAAAACAAGTGTTTATATGCAGATAGATTCATTCCATGTGCTCTGTTTGTTCAGTGTCATAATTCCAGCCCGAGTCTGCAGCCCTGCGTCTGTTACCCCAGACCGGGCGGCGGACACAGAAGGCTCTCCGGCAGCTTCTGCAGTCTGGCCCTGACATCTCAGTCACCGTCACTGGCCGGCCAGGCTCTGCCAGGGCTGCCTCTTGGCTCAGAGGCTGCCTCCGGTGTCCTCAGGTGGCCCTGCTGTGTGTGCGCACAGAGCCACCTCCTCTCTGTGAAGGCCTGCTGGGCCAGGCCCACGCTCTGGCCTCACTGAATCCTGATGGCCTAGATGCCTGGCTCCAGACAGGTCGCAGGGGCTGGGGCCCAGTGAGCCGTGGGGGAGGGGTGGGGAGAGGCTTCAGCCTGCGGCGGGGCCTTACATTGTTTTTCTGTGGGTGAGTATGGTACTAATAGTTCTTAATTCATCACTTTAAAATCAGTTTAAGGTGAATTTGTACCTTTTATTGTTTAATCTCATTAAGTGAGATGCCTGTTTATATGCCAACTAAGAATTATTTATATTTGAAAGTCTACAACAATTCTTTTATTTTTAATCCTTGCCCAAGGACATTTTTGCATTTATCTTCAGATAGAGTGGGAGGTGGGGGGGAGAGACAGAGAGAGAGACATCAGTGTGAGAGAGACACATTGGTTGCCTGTCTCACGACCCCAACCAGGGACTGAACTGCAAATGGTCTTCGTTCTGAGGGCCGACACTAACTGCTGAGCCAACCCCGCCTGGGCCGTCGCAACAGTTTTGTAGTGTGTTTTAAAACAAGTACTTTTAAAATACTAATTCTTAAAATAGTGTAAAAATGATATATATTTTAGCTTTTTAGTCTGGTAAGAACCTAGTCATCTACAATTGATCAAAGTTACCAAAAGGGGAAGAAAATTTTGTCTTATGGATATAATTTGTAACTACTCACTGTTCTTTCTTTATATTCTATAACTGGGAATACTATTAGAAGTATAGCCCTGGCCGGTTTGGCTCAGCAGTTAGAGCATCAGCCTGCACACCAGAGAGTCCCGGGTTCGGTTCCCGCTAAGGGCACGTACCTCGGTTGCAGTTTGTCCCCGGCCCCAGTTGCGGTCGTGTGGGTGGCGACCACTCAATGGGTCTCTCTCACGTCAATGTTTCTCTCTCTCTTCCTCCCTCTCTCCCTCCTGCTTTTTCTGAAGATAAATGCAAAAAAAAAAAGTCCTCGGGTGAGGATAAAAATAAATAAATAAATAAATAAATAAATAAATAAAATGGCAGTCATTAAAAAAAACAAGAAGTATATTTTCTTGTGACTATGAATAGGTAATTATTCCCTCCATATACAAAGGAAATTGATTTGTGAACAGTATATCTAAAAAAGGTGTTTCCTGTTTACTTTCCTCTCAGTCAGAACTAAATGAGATTACTCGAAAATAAAACCAAAAGAGCTTGTTTCTCCTTCTGTTAATTTTTCTTTAAGAAATTGAAACTCATAGCACTTGTTAGACTGTGATGTGTTTTCCTTCTAAACTTGATTAATTTTGCTCCTATAGCACCTTCATTTGATTCTGACTTAAAGAAAAAAGGAAAGCAAACCAAACTAACCCTCTGCATTTAGAGGTTCACAGTCTGGCCCTTCTCTGCACACGCAGGTCGGTGCCGGGGACCACGCCTTAGTGCTCTGGACAGTGGGACCGGCTGGCTCTCCAGGAGTGAGTGTGGGTGTCTGCTGTCTGCCTGCACTCCGAATGTCAAGGCCCTGGTGATGGCTGTTTCCTGGGAGTGTCTTGCTTAAAGATGTTAGGTGCAAAATATGTTGATTCAGTATTCGGGTTGTTATTTAAGATATGTTTGTGTTGCAGTGTTATGGGTTCTTAATATTGTTTACTCCTGAGATTGTCATATTAGTGATTTCTAAATTCCCTTTTTACTTAAACTACATGTTAGTCATTCTTCAGAAAAGACTTATTCACGTTCCCAAATGAATTACAGATTTTGTTTAACTATAGTCTCTGCAGGACAAAATTTAAGATTTTGAGAGGTCTGAAATGGTCTGAAATATAGGTTGTCTTTTTTTTATTTATTTTTATTTATTTTTTTATCTTTATTGTTGAATGTATTACAGATGTTCCTCATTTTCCCCCCATTGACCCCCTTCTCCCCCCCCCCCCCGCCTTTTCCCACTGTTGTCTGTGTCCATTGGTTATGCATATAAGTTCTTTGGTTTATTTCCTCCCACCCCCAACCCCCTTCTCTTTGTGGTTTGTCAGTCTAGCAACCAATTTGTTCTTCTTAATCCCTTCACCCTTTTCACCCATTCCCCCCAACCCCCCTCCCATCTGGCAACCAACAAAATGTTCTCTTTATCTATGAGATTGTTTCTGTTCTGCCTGTTCATTTTGTTTGTAGATTCAGTTGTCGATAGATATGTATTCATTGCCATTTTGTTTGTTCATATATTTTATCTTTTTCTTCAAAAAGACCTTTCAACATTTTATATAGTAACGGTTTGGTGGTGATGAACTCCTTTAGCTTTTTCTTGTCTGGGAAAGTCTTTATATGGCCATCGATTCTAAATGACAGCTTTGCAGGATAGAGTAATCTTGGTTGTAGTTTCTTGCTTTTCATCATTCTGAATATTTCTTGCCACTCCCTTCTGGCCTGCAAAATTTTTTTTGAGAAATCAGCTGACAGCCTTATGGGAACTCCGTTGTAGGTAACTAACTGCTTTTCTCTTGCTGCTTTTAAGATTCTCTCTTTGTCTTGAACCTTTTGCATTTTGATGATGATGTGTCTTGGTGTGGGCCTCTTGGGGTTCATCTTGTTTGGGACTCTCTGCTTCCTGGACTTGTGTGTCTGTTTCCTTCACCAAGTTAGGGAACTTTTCTGCCATTATTGTTTCAAAGAGGTTTTCAATTTCTTGTTCTCTCTCTTCTCCTTCTGGCATCCCCAAGATGCGAGTATTGGCACGCTTGAAGTTGTCCCAGAGGCTCCTTACACTCTCCTCTTTTTTTCTTT